CATAAAGCTGCATTCATAACCTCAACCACACACGTGCTCGTTCAAAAGGCGCTAGTGTCGACGAACGAAACTTCGCGCCATTCGCCATTCGTATTCAACAATCAAGCTGCATAGATTATTATACAGTTGTCTCCGCAACACATCACTTCAATCCAAGAATTTAGTTCTACAAGTAATAATAGTAATACTAGTCAACCTTGTCATTAGTAAATAACAGAATAAATAGCATACTTCAGTCATATCTTTATTGTATTATTATAATATCCCTTCCACTTGTGACCTGTCATCGCTACCACACAACACCCGTGATCTCTGAGTAGTCAACGGTATCAATATGTATCCTTCGCACCGGCCTTGGTAAAACAAGCCGGAACGGTGAATACATTTTGTACATAAATTATTTTATTGATAGTGAAAGAATTGAATTTATTATTAAAATGAATACTCTTTTAATTTTATTTGATTGTTCTATGACATAATAAATTAAATGTTGATATAAATAAACATTCATACTTGATATTTTATATAAAAGTACTCACAGCATAGGTTTCATATAAGGCGTGTGCAATACATGTATATTAACCGTGTCCATACATAGGTTGTTATCTACAAATTACACCGATTACAATTGTTATAATTTTGTGAATTGATAATAGAAACAAGATATTGCGTTGTATCAAAAGTATTGTAAAAGTATTTTTTTAAAAACAGGAAACTACTTCAAGCTTTTTTCTACAGTTATCACTCACTGTAGCGGTATACATACGTAATAATTTGTTACGTCATCGGAACTTGCTCGCAATCACCCGAGAACCCTCTTTCCAGGAATCCTCCAAGTCTGAAAAGAAGATGAATGCATTTCACCTCACACGATAAAAATGGGAAGCAGTGGTAAGCACCGCCAAGTTACAGGAGGAATACCATTGGATAATTCACATTTGATGAAATCTCCATACTGCTAACCCGTGTCACCTTATCCACAATCCACATTCTATCAGTACTGCCAGTTCCCATAGAAGATACAAAATTTAATCATCAATGAATTAATGATGGCGGGCGGAATGTTACGGATTGAAAAGTTGAAAAGCGGAAAACAAAAGTGGAAGAGGTATGAACGCGCTATTCAGTTGTTTAAAAAAACAATAACCAACGAACCTTCCAGACTGTGCCCTGTTGACGTCACGACCAGTGTCGTCATGGCAACAAAACACCGGCGTTTTGAGCAATAGTGCAATAATATTTAAGGGCTGTGCTTCACACTCAGCAATCAGTCTTTGTCTCAGTCTAGTCTAGTAACAATTACGCAATCATTATAACTGGCTCACTATTCAATCTTCAACTTTATTTCTACAATCATCACTCACCGTAGCAGTACACAAACGTACACACATTATCAAAATCCGTTAACTAAACTTAAACTAATAACACGCTAGTGCTAACATAAATCAAGAGTGAAAATATCTAAATCATACTACACATATTAACGGATTACACCGACGACTAAGGCAGGAGAAAACGGTCCCCTTTAGAAATCTTCAATACGACAGAAGCAGCTCTTACGCACTTACACTGAAGGAGCAGCTATCCACTTTCGCTTAGACGACTAAGGTACAACAATGGGTGCTCTTACGTATACTACGACTGCATCGACTCCTCACACCACGGAAATGATACACACTCTCCTCAGCACATAACACAATTGAAGAAACTTACTTTATTTTATTCACTCACACCTTCATTCATATACTTCATGATTATTAACCATTTATTATATTATTATATTTAATAAAAGGAAAGACACGAAACACTACATGTAGTATTGAATAATTGCATTGCCCCTTCCACTTGCCAGCAACACCTCCACCCACCATCAAAAGGTTTTTTTAGTCAGATCCCAGACAATTATACTTAACATTACATAATCCATTAAATCTATTAATTATTCTAGTCTTAGAAAACGAAAAAAATATATAGAATACTTTAAATTTGATAAATATGAATGTGTACTTATGATGCCTTCATGACTTTTATTATTATATGCTTCAATATATTTTTGTTTCTCCCATAATAATGTTTTTATATTGACATCTAGAAATTAAAAAATTAAAATAAAATAAAATAAAAAAAATTAAAACAAAACTACTAACGTAGTATGATATAATTTATTCATATAATTCATTGTTATTGTTATACAATTACCAGTGAGCTATTAGTGCGATATTAAAAATCGATTACTTTTATTTTGCATACATATAAATATTATGCTCGAATTTCAAAAACAGCTTTAGAAAGGAAGTTTATAAATAAATATTGTATAATATTAATGACGTAATATATGCAATTAAAAGGTGTGAACGTAGTGTAAATAAGCACCGAAACATATATATGTATATTAACCATCATTTTTTATGAATGATCACTTTTTGTATTTTCATTTTTTAAATATTTAAAAAATGATAAAAAAAATGATAAAAATTACAGACCATATTATAACGATTTTATTAAATGCATACATTAGTTCAATAAATTTTATATTAAAAATTACATATGTTCGATAAAATAATAATAGTATTTAGATATAAAATAATCAGTTGGTTTCGAAATGATATATTTTATAAAATATCAGATTAAAATACTTCAAACGCATTTACGAAAAATACGTTTACATTTATTAACATAACTTTTATCAAATAATATGAAAGTTAATTTAACCTTATAATATATTATAAATAAACATAATTAAATAAAAAAACGATTTTGAGATAAAATTGAAAAATAGAAATTAAATATGTTAATACGACTTTGAAATAGTTTATTCACCAAGTTAAATATATTTTAAAAATTTTGTACCTGTTTCAATTTTTTATACATTAATATTATTATTAAAAAAAATAAAAAAATTGCATTAATAATATCATAATTGAATATTATTATTAAAAAAAAATAAAAAATTGCATTAATAATATCAAAATTGAATATTATTAATAAAAAAATTAAAAATTTGCATTAATAATAAAAAAAATTGTTTAGTTATTAAATAATTGTAAAGAGAGAATAGAATAGATTTTAAAAAGACATTTAAAAAAGTAAATTTATTTTCATTCGTCATAGTTTTGGCAGTGCTTTTTTAATGTTTCCTTATCAAATGTTTTTTAATGTCAGTTATTTAATGGACTTGCTCATAGTTTTTTAAAAACTTTATTTTTACGTGATTAATATAATTAAATTAACTAAATGCACTATGATAGTAATGCATATGTAACGAATTCTGATTTATTTTTATTTTGATTTTAAACTATATTTTATACATTTATTATTTTTAATTATTTATATATAAAATACAAGAGGTTTACTATTTTTTAATATTAGACACCTCTCCAATAGTTACCATATATTCAGAATAGATTTTAAAAAGTAGAAGTTACTTAAATCTAAGTCCATACAAACTTTTAATTATTTTTCTCATCCTTTGCTTTAGATTAAATGTGATATATTTTTTATTTTCTAATATCAACAAAGTGTTTTTAAAATGTGTAAAATTTTAAGAAAGAAGAATATTTATAAATCCACGTGTTAACATATATTGATATTTTGTTTTTATTCAACCGTAAAGTTATGGCTTTGGGTTTAGAACCCATAATTTTCTGTTTCACATTATTGTAATTTTTGTTAGATCTATATTTCTCTCATCTTATATTTATCTCTTATTAAATAAAAATAATATGTTGAATTCAAGACATTATGCAATTAGTAGATCACACTTAATTTAAATACATATTTTAATTAATAAAAACTTTAAATAAACTATTGTCTTTTCATTAAAATTTATTATTACAATTGAGTATTATTCATTATGTTTCATGAAATTGATAATAATAAAATTGCTGTTTTAAAAATATTACAAAATAAAATTAATTGATTTACTATTTTCTTACAAATGTATTTCAACAGTTGTTTTTTTAATTTTTAATTTTTCAATATAAAAATTATGTGAATACTTGCAATATTATTGAATTGCATTGTTCCAAATTAAAAATAATTGAATAACAAACTTTATATAAAAAAAATGTATAATTTTGTTTTGTCATAAAAATGTCTATTTTTAATATTCTATTAATATTCATATATTTTTAATAGATTGTGCTTGCATTCAATTTACGGATTATATTTCTGAAATTTAATAAATAAGACAATAACTTTATTTATATTTTCCTATTATTACGCTAATAATTTTCAATATAATATTCTGCCACATCCATCTAACATAATTAAAAACAAAAAATCTCTTCGCTCTTATGTAGTAATTAATTGTAAAAAGTAATTAATTACATTTGTTTTAATATTACAAATTTATATTTATAAATCGCACAGTATATTAAAAATGTATTTAATCGTTAAGAAACTAATATACATTATTTACAATAATTCTGAGTTACATTTAAAATCAATTTATTATTAATGATATAAAATATAATATTTTTCATGATAAGTTTTCGAATTATTTTTAATTATGTTATAATTGTTAATTATGATATAATTAAATATGATATAGTTACATATGATTAAATATGATATAATTGTTATAAATCAATGAATCCCATGTAATTGTATAATATTTATGTTATTCAATATAATAAAAAATTGACTTTTTTGTTTACGTATATTATAAAATAATTACTTATTATAAGACAATAAATGTTCATAATTTCTACCAAACAATGTATATATTATAAAAACATGAGAAAAAAATAATATTATAATTAAATAGATAATATATAATGTATTAAGACTAACAAACATAAAAATTTGCTACATCCCCAAACTAATGCTCTGCACTTTTTTAAAAACCACATTAAATCAGTACGATTATTTCTATTTATTTCAATTTCAAAATTTCGTACTGAACTCAGTATGTCCTTCAAAGCTGATACACTTGAGATCTTAATTGCGCATGATTCAAAAAGCCCTCTGTAAATTTCTTGTAAATTTATTATTGAATAACTTTTTTTCAAGTCGGTACACAGTTTTAACCTTTTGGCATATAAGTAATGTATTTATTTATTTATTTATTATATTTATTACGTATCCATTTATTAAATCATGTTAGTTGTAATATAATTACTATTTATTGATTCTATTCATAAAAAGAATAATTTATTTGTATAATTTAAGTTATACGTTATAATGCATTGAAGTGTACAATAATTAATTATTTATTAAATGAATTAAAAGATTTTATTAGATTCAATAATTTGCAGATATTTTTAAAAGTAATCGATTTTTTTAAATCAAAATTTGAGCACCATAGCAATACAGTTATCAATGATTGCTTTATTTTCCACTCATATGATTGCATAAACTTTATTCATATTTCTTGGATACAAAAATAATTTGTCGATATAAAAATCTAATTGAATAAAGATAATGTGTATAAACATTTATATAGTTTGACAATAAATTAAAAAATCAATGTACATTGCAATATATTTTAACATTTGATGTAAAAATTGATCGGCAGATTACACATAATTTGTATATTTATACCATTTTATTATTTGAATTATAGTGCATTATGAAATATATATTTTTTTAAATTCTAAAGTGTCATGTATTAAATGAATATTATTATTTTTTATGAATAAATAGATGCTTCTATAATTATTTTAAATACAAATATTTAAGTATTAAGTATTAATACTAATTTTTACTTTTTTCTGTAGTATAAATTTAAATATATTTCGTTTAAAAAAAAATTACAAATAAAAGTAAAACTATTATTGATGTATTAACCAAAAATATTTTTATATTAACATATTTAGTAACTATTTGTATATATATTAACAAATTGATATATGGTTCATGTTATGCTTAGCAGATATAAATATGATTAAAAGTTTTCTGAAGTATCATTCAAATATGTTCTATTATACATAATAAAATTTTTAAAATATATATGAATGGATATGGTCAATTCTGATATAAGTAAATAACGAAGTTTATTGATGTGCAAAACAAATAGATATAAAAACTTTCAATGTATTTGATAAAAATAATATTTTTAAAATGTAAGAACAAACTAAATTATGTGTTTAACTAAGGACAAGTGACAGTATATGAACCAATTACTTTTTTAAAAAAATTTATTACATTTTAGTATAAAAATTAAATTCAAATAATTATTCACAAAGATAACAATTCTATTTGAATTAACAGGTTATAAATAATAAAAATATATTGTACAATATTCTTTAATATAAAATTAGAATTGCAAACGATGGTAGTATACGAAGAAGATAAATAGCCTTTAAAAATACGATATTTAGTTATTGTATGATTATATTATAATGTACTTTAGAAAAGTTTTCATTATATAATCATATAACCATCAAGAAAATATTTTAAATTATTTAATAAATACGTTTATGCATATTATACAATTTTATACTTGATTACATTCTGAGTAATATTATCGATGCATTGTGAAACTATTATCTAAGTGTAAGTTGTTATAATCCAATATTATTAAATAATTTTATAAATAAATAAAAAAATAAATTAATTCAAAAGTATATACATCATTGATATTAAATAGAATGTTGATTTATTTGAAATAATTTATAATTATTGTAATTCTTACAAATTACATACAATAGTAATTTCAATTGACATAAGAATAATACTTAGAATAGATATAGATATATGACTTGTGTATTATTAATTATAAGTATCATAAAAATATTAGATATTGTTTAATGTGTAAAAAATTAAAATAAAAAAAATTGAAAAATTTTAATATCAATTCATATATTTAAAAAATAAAATGAATTGAAGAATTTACTTACGGCTGTTTCAAATCTATAATTCTTTTATAACTGTTGTGCAAAAATAACAGTGTGTTTAAATATATATATATAGGTACTGTGAAGGATCATTGCTTTTGGTGCATTCAAATCTTTAAATAGCAATTCAGAGTCTCTTTAATTTTTTGTATTTTCCTTATTAAGAGGATAATTTTTTTTAAGTCTTTAACATTAGGAATCCATGTAATAAATCAATCACTTTCAATAAATTACATAATATTTAATTTATCTTTTTCAATTTCTCATTTTTTTCTTCCATTGCCATTTGATTTAAACTGAAGAATCTTATCTTATTCCCAAATGAAATTCTTTAAATGCCAGAATTCAGAACTTAAAGTAAATTAATAAATAGCCTTATCACAAATGTATTATAATATACTTTTCTCACTAGTAAAATTATTCAGAATAAAAATAAATATTAAAATAGTATTAATAGTAATAGTAGTAAGTGATAAGGATATAAACAATAATTTAGAAATAACACTTATTACTATTCTACTTTTACATAAAAATTATTAATAAATAACTCAATGTTTAAAAAAACTAATTAGGAATTAGTTAAAAATAACTTAGAATTTCTCCAATAAATATACATTAATTAGGGAGTGATAAAATAGAAAAAATGAAATCAATATTCTTTTTAATACATTATTATATAAATTATAAATTAATGTCTACATTAGGCATAGTGTAATATATATTAAAAACAAAACAAAACCCTTTATATATAATATACCTAGAAATCTTAATGAAAATTTATATTACATATAACAATTTAGAAATTGCTTTTACTTTTAAAATGAAAGCAACTTCGCAAATATAATTTAAGTAATTATTTATATTTAGACAAGAAACTCAGCATAAAGAAGATTTCATTATAATATATTAATAAAAATGGCAATAAAAATTGCTTACATTATATATATATATATAATTATAGTTTATGGATTTATTTGTAGATAATGGAAAGTGCAATTGCGAAAAAAAGAAGGGTATGTAAACTAAATGTAAATTCAAATTATGACAAATATTTGATATATTGCTACGATAAAATTCAAAGAAAAGTAATTGAATCTTTTATATATTTATTTTTTATTCTTAATAGTACTAAAATAGATTAATTTCTTCGATTTCTGTGTTTTGATTGTGATACTATAAAATAGAAAATAAAAATTAAATTATAAATTATATATCTATTTATGTAAATAATATATTACTAACTATATATATAGTGTTACTAAAAATATATAGTTACATTATAATATAATCTTTTTTATTAATTTTCACTTACCTTTAGCTGCAGTTTTATGAGAACTATTCTGAAATATTTATTGTAATTACTCACTAATAAAATTATAAGCATAAAATTGTTATTAATGATAAGTACCGTATTATCTGTATCCTTATTAAATTTAAATTTTTTATCACAAAATTTGATGCAGGGTATTTGATAAATAAGTTGAAGTGCTGAAAAAGTATGTCATCAAAAATTTTATACAAAATTAATTTTATTTTTAAATTATATGTAAACGTAATTCATTAGCGACTGATAACTTAAAAAGTTATTCAATTAATATTATATCATATATTTAGACAAAATGCATTAGATTCAATAATAAGTAAAATATATTGTTTAATATTTGTTAACTCAGCATTTAACTACATAGCATTTACAAATTATTTATCTTATTCAGTGTTTATATAATAGAACCTATTTTTTATCAAAATAATTTTATTATTTGTAGTATGAATATAAAATTTATTAACATAGAAATTTTAGACTGTATAACTACTTTTATTGAATGTGCATGATCGTATTTTATGCAAATTTAAAAAACAAATTTTTAAATTATATATACTAATATTAAAAACAGTTTCTAAAAATTAATGTGCTTAATATATATATTTATTATTAGATTAAATATGTAGAACATAATTTATTATGATTGATAAAAAAAAATTTATTTTTTGGATATAATTTATGACAATTTATATGATAAATAACCTTGTAAGATAAAGTTTTTATTTTTTGAAAATAAATTATAATTTAAATAAAATATAAAAGTATATTTAAATATAATTCGTAAAATCTCACTATCGCAGAGATGAAAACACATGATCTTCGTAAATGCCGTTGAAGAACAAGTCAGAATACAATTTCTACGATTTTCTTGCGGTAACTCTGAATATAAAATTATAATATTTTGATATATTATTTTAAAAATTGATAAATATTGTATTTTTATTAAAATTATACTATAATTATGAATATATAGATAATATATAGATAGTTAAATAAAAAATATTTTTATTGCTAAACCGTATTAGTAAATGTTAATTAAAAATTGTTTAAATATATAAAATTCAATACATATATATTACAATTTGTTAATTAAAAATATAGAAAACAACTAAAATTAGTAGTTTGTATTCATTAAAATTGTATTGAAATATACAAAAATTATATTAAGTAATTTTTTCTTCTTAATTTATAATGTTGCATAGTTTAGATTATGCATACTATTATTAAAAATATCTATATTTATCAAGCATAATACTTATAAACACTAAATGATTAGATAGATTGAAAGTAGAATACTAGTCGAATATCTTATTTTACATCAAATTAGTATAAAGAAAGTTATGATTTTATTAAAAATATATTTCGTTAGTTGTTAAAAAACTAGTTACGCTAAAAATTTGAAGCATTTCGAAGGAAGAATGAATCAATATAATGGTGAATATTTATAAATATACCACAGTAGTGCAAAAATATTAATTAATTGTATCCCGAGCAGAAAAGGAATCTACTGTTCATCTTAAATATATAAATATTTATAGTAGTTTCAATATGTATATAAGTCCATTTTGAAGGCCATAGAAATCGATAGTTCGATAGATATCTTTTAATAATTTATTGAAAATTCTTATTTATAAATTTTGATCTTTACATTCGTTCACGTTTTATTATCCTAATTATCTATTAAATTACTTCTGATGATTGCAGAGAATTATTAAATGATTTATAGAATTGATTATAATATTTTATGTATATGTATATCCACGTTACATTCTCATCTTATATGAATTCGCAAGACTGTAATTTTTCATATTTTTAATAATTATCTATTTTATACCATATAGTTACTTTAAATTGTCATAGTTATTTTAATATGTTACT